GGGACACCTCCCGTGACTTCTGTGTGGCACCCAGGGCCGAGAGCAGCTGGAGCCTTGGCTTTCACACTTGCAGGGCTGGGATGATAATCCCCGTTCTTCAACAGCTCAGTTTATTTTCAGACACTTGTGACCTTAGGAATTGTGGTGTTTTGTCTTAATTATTCCCAATGAGTAAGGCTCAGCCTAGCCCCATCACCTATATGGACTGACCTCAACTTTGTCCTGAATGTTCAGCCTTTAACAATTCAGTCTAATCACTTGTCCTTTGCCGTGAAGCTCCCTGTTCTCCTGGCAAAGCATTCAGGAGAAATTCTGCCTGGTACTGCTGGAATCCAGGTGTATAGTCTAGCCTGAGGGTGTCCCCTAACTCTTTATCCCAAACAAAACTAAATAAAGCAGATCTGCACAATTTCCTCTTCTTATTGACCTGCTGGTGGCTTTTAGTAATCTAAGCATTTTTCAAAGTGCGCAGAAACCCTGAGGATTAGTCATCCATCTCTGGAACTTTGCCTGCGATAATGTCCATTAAGCCACTGCTTTGCTGTGGCCCCTGCTTTGCTCTCACTTGAAGGCTGTCTTGTGTGAGCTGTGCTGCGTCTGGGTTTTCTTCCAGTCACTGTTCTTTGCTCTTATGCACAACTGGACACCGTTTTCAGCTGATGATAAGTTCCGTTTCACGTGCTTCTCAAGGCATCATTACCCCAGCGTCAGCCCACAGCCTCCTTTCTTCCCTGGTCCCAAGTGCCTTGCTTGGCATCATGACCCATGGTAGGAATCCCTTCACACAAGTCAGGTTACATGTTGTGGTTTGGGTGTGAACTGACCTACTGAGCAGAAAGTCAGTAACCCCACAGCATGGATTAAAGAGCAAAAAATTATTTCGAAGGTTGGTGCTGCTCTCCCTTTGGGAAGAGTTATTCATTTTCTGGTGTACCTATATAGCAGGTAATGGCTGGTGAGCATGTGTGTGTCACAGAAGTTGTGTGAGTTGTTTAGTCCAAAGTGAAAACTTGTTCAGTGCTAAGACCCATTCCACCATGTAGACTTGTAGTAATGTAAAAACCAGACTACAAACTATCTTGTTCTCTTTTTATGGGAGAAAGGTTTATCCTCTGCTTCCAAAATATGTTCATGAAATGACCTGATCCTTCACATACATACACGTGGTCATGTCACATACAAACATATGGTCATCTATGGCATCCTGTTAACATAAAGAGGGTTATCTAGTTGCAGTGATGGTTGAAACATTACAAAGTCGGATGTGGTAGTGAATGCCCATATCCAGGCACTTGGGAAGCAGATGCAGGAGGATCACAAGTTCAAAGTCATCCTCAGATACATAGTGAGTTAGAGCCCAGCATATACTACATGAGACCTCTCTCAAAATAAATACAAAACAGAAAGAAACAGAAGCCAGTGCAGAACAAGTACTTCCCTTACCAGCCATGTGTGCAAGGCCTGTCCTTGATGTCCCAGGGCAGCTGAGTCACTGCAAGGGCCTTGCTTCCACTGCAACCTTACAGTTCTGACATATCCCTTCAGTTCTGAGCTTCTGTGAAACCTTGATGATGGTCAGATGTGCAGGTGGAAAACAGGCAGGTCCATGGACCAGGGTCTGATTTCTTCTTCCGTTTGAGCTGGGTGTCTTGCTATAGGTTGATGTGCTCCATCTGTCAGGATCTGGTTTCTGTTTGCCCTGGCATGCTTGGTTTCCATCTGTCTGTTATCCTAGAACAGAGTCTGGTTCCAGCCTGTGTGGCATCTCTGGGGAACGTTAAGTAAGTTCCATGGCATGAACTGCATTCAGCCACTGCACACACAAGGGCAGCCTGGAGATGGGCTGTCCTCGTAGGAAACCAGATAGCCATTTTGGTGATAAAGTATTTATTTCCCATTATCTCCTTGTTGCCAGGACTACGATATGCACGTCGCTTATGTTGCTTCAAGGGAGCAAGAGTTCTAAAGAGGTTACATGCACCAAAGGAAAAATTTAATTTTGAAAAATAAATTGAGCGACAGTCTATGGACCAGAGTTTTCTGTCGTTTACAGTTTGACGTTGTGTGAGACAGCACCATGTCATGTTTTCAGCCAATAAGTTTTCTTCTTTTTAATCATCGCCTTCCTCTAAGAAATGCCATTGTTCTTTATAGTTTAAGGGAGTGAGGCCGGAGATGCAGCTATTTTTGAGGCAGCTAAGCGTGAGCTGACGTTAACTTTTAGAAAAAGCTGACTTCTCTAAACGAACACTTTTGAATGACTTGGTTTTATGTTACACGCTTTCATTTGAACTATTTATAAAGTACTGAAGAAGGACGAGTGAGAATTCAACAATGTTGGACAGAATCTTGGATTTCCAGCTATTCTCTGTGTAACTGAGTTCACGAGCACAAAAATAAGAGCGATTCCACACCAAGGCAGACTCATGTCAGCACTGATAATCCTGCAGAGTCCTGGTGGGTGTGGAAGAGGAGGAGGTCAACTTGAGAGGTATTCAATGCGTAGACTTTGAAAGATACTAAATGCAAGTGACATTTATTGAGTGCTTTCTAAATCCTAGCACTGCTCAGAGAGCTTTGACCATATGGGTTTGTTTAATTCTCATGATTAACCTTACACGATAAGCCTTGTTACAGATCCCGTTTTATAGTTGCATAGCTAAGGCACAGGCCAGGGAGCAATTTGTCACAGAGGAACAAGCAAAGGGCACAGGATGCAACTCCAGGAGGCTGACTTAGGTCTAGTCCCACCTGCAACACCACCCTGCTCCCCGCCAGGGACAATAAGAGGTCCACACGCACACTCATCAGAGTGGGAAGTTCAGCCCCAAGCATAACAAAGAGAGCATTGTGGAGCCGATGCCGGGTACTGTGGCTAAACTCGGGTTGTGGGAGGCAAAGGGGAGGCAGCAAGGGACTGTGCAGTACAAGATCCATGAGATGCCTGCACACAGCAAGCAGCTTGGGCCACTGACCTGTGGGACCACAGGCAAGCAGGGATACACTGTGCTAAGGTTTTGTGTTATAGCTATTCCTGGTGAAAGAAGGATTGAATGGAATCATTTAAGAATTCATTCATTCATTCATTTTATCCTTGAAAACATTGTGTTCGGTTTCTTGTACGTCCCAAGATTGTTTTTAAGGGTTGAGGGTGCCCCACAGGGAACAAGAGACAAGTCCCCAGACTTACTGTGCATTAAGACTGTTCGCAGATATTGAGTGACAGAAGAAATAAGAGGATGACATGTGATATAGAATGGCCAGTGCAAGGGACTGACTGCCTTCATCCAGGGCAGGCAGGGAAGGACTGACTGAGAAGGTGAACTGAGGGCTGAACGACAGGAGCCAGTCATGGGTGGGGGCAGCTCAAGGGCTCAGCAAATCTGGATCTGGGCTCATTATGCAGAGTACTCCAGGAAGACTCAACAGTGCTCAGGCTCCAAGTCTGTAAATAGCACAGAGGGTTCCAGGGACAGAGAGTTCACCAGAAGGGCTCAGCAGAGTGGGGAAAGGTTAGGGTGGAAAGGACAGCACAGGAAGGACCTTTGATGATGGGAGTGTCTGCACTGAGACTGAAAATGAACCGGACATTGTTTGGGAGGGTTCAAGCAGGTAGATGATTTACCTGCTTTATATGAAGTGGGTAACATGAGAGATTGTGTTATTTATCTGGAGAGAGAGGCGACAGAAAAGAGATCAGTCAGGAGACAAACTGGGAAAGTCCAGAGGAGGAAGAGACTTGTGGCCTTTTCCATAAAGGAGAAGATGAATGGATTGGATGATATTTTGGAGTCAGAGCTTTAAAAGCCTTGCATGGAGTGAGAGAAAGGACGGTGTGAAGCATGAGCCCGACCAGATGTCACTGACTGATGTGATGCCGCTAGCTGAGTCGGGTGAAGTGACTCCAGGGCTCTTGGTATAAAGGGTTCTGCTGTGGACCCAGGGAGGACAGTTCTGGGGTGCCAAGGGCAGCTGTCCGAGGATGGCCAAGGACAAATGATGCAATCAAGCTGCAGGGTGCAGTGACCAGCAGGTGTGATCAGTAATGGAGAGAGGGCTTTTATAACTTCAGGTTTTCAGTCCCATGGCCTGGGGAGGAAGTGACCCTTAACCAGAATGATAGAATTTGGGGGAAAGAGAGGCACATGAACAGTGGGAAGAAAAATATCATGTAGGCTTTGAAATAAAAGTCTTTGCCAATGAGTGATGTGCCATGCCTGTAAAAGTCCATTGCTGCAGGTTCAGTTTTCTTGTCAGAACATGAGAGGATTGTGCCACAGCAATGAGGTTAAATTAAGTGATTAGTCATAAATGCCTCACAGAGAGGACTGTGCAACACCACTGCAGGATTGTGGTAGTTTCATTGTAATAACAGCCATGTAATAATAGTACTTGGGGTGCATGTCATTCGTAATGATATACTAACATGATAAGTTCTTGTTCTTAGTGCTTTTGAGTAAGGGTTGCAAGTGTATACCCATATGTAGACTCTACCCATATGTAGATTCTTTCTGCTTCTCTTCAATCACGAAAACAAAGTAAATGGGATCTGGCATGGTGGGGCACACCTTTAATCCCAGCACAAAGAAGGCAAAGGTGGGTGGGTCTCTGTGAGATGGAGACCAGCCTGGTCTACATAGCACATTCAAGACGAGCCGAGGAGCTACAGGGAGACCCTGTCTCAAAAGACAAAAAGGTGGAAATATTTCTGTTCTTTTCTCATTGTAGACTAGCTAAACTGAGTCTCAGGAGGGTGCATTCCTAAGGGGATGAGACTGGGAACTGTAATGTCTGAGGACATTACAGGGCAGGACTCACACAGCGAACTTATTCCATCGTTCTGAACTCTTCCCAAACTAAACATTGCTAAGACAAAAACACACTGATAGACATCACTCCGCCATTTCTTAGGAGCTATACAAGGTGAATAAATGCTGTTTTATAAAATGTTTTCTGAACCCATCAGCCCCATGTGAAACTGTATCTCACTCATCTTCCAGTGTGGGACCACACTCCACTCCAGGCCTGTCTTTGGAGGAAATGAACAGAGGTGCCCAGTACTCACCCATCGATAAATATGGTAAGTGGGCAGATGGGCTGGATTCATTAAGGAAATCACTCCTAGAGAGAAGGCTTCCACTCATTCTGGTAGCAAGGGGGAACGTTGCATTTTGCAATATCCCGAAATTACAGGTACTTTTAAATATTGTAGAAATTCAAACTCTGATCCTGAAGTCTTTTATAACTCTACATCTACCTTGAAGCTTAATGAAGTGTGTGAGCCTCTGCATGGGTGTGAGAGTACATGAGTGGGCAGGTGTGCACAAGCATCATGTGTATATGAATGTGTAAGCATGTACCAAGTGGGTATGGATGTGTATACATGAGTGTGTGTGTGCATGAGTACGAGTCTATGCATGTGTATGTGTGTGTGTGTGTGTGTGTGTGTGTGTGTGTGTGTGTGTATGGGAGTGTTCACAAGTGTGGGAGCCTGAGTGTCTATGTGTATGCATGTATGTATGCATGTGTGTGCATCCATGTGTTTGCATGTGTGTGTGTGTGTGTGTGTGTATTTGATGTATTCTTCAGAAGATACGATTTT